ATGAAAACACACCTATTCTCACCGAAGGTCTGTAATTTCAGAGGTAGTCTGGATGCTTAAACAAGCGTTGGGCACCTGCGAGCTGCTGAAGTGACTCCAAAGCTATGGCTGGGAATCACAAGCCACTCACGTTACCCAGACAGTGGCTTCCCCAGGCTCTGATGCCCCTTCTCATTCCTCCCAGCAAACCCCTGGTGACCACAGCCTGTCATGTTGGCTGATCCCAGTGACTGAGGTACAGTCTCATCTCCTTAAACCACACACAAACACAGGGCAGCTCTGCAAGTCTGGAGCTGCAATAGCAGAGGTGTGTGGTAAGGTCTCCAATGACTAAGACTTCATTATTTTTTACAAAGTATACTGCAGAATATTTATCTGTGCATTATGATGAATTAGCATAAATAATTAAAACAGAACTCAAATTGGCAAACACATAAGCAAAGGGCACTCACTAATGGACCAGGCTCGCTCTGCTGCTCCAGGGACTCACTTAGATACAAGTCCTTGCCAAACAGGCCAAGGAAGGATTCCTATTTGTCTTTCTTTTTATTCTAAACCTGTTCCCATCTCACCCCAAATGTCACACACAGGCTGGAGGTGGGTGAGCACGTCTTAAAGAGCATCTCCCAAAGGGGGAAGAAGAAAATAATGGAAAGCCCCCAAACCTTCAACCTGTTCCCCAAGTCCCATGACACTCTTCTCTGCAAACAACACACCTACGATCAGTCATGCAGGAGGTGCTCGCTGGTGCTTCCCAGAAATGCTGATGATTTGATGGGTCGCATGACTCTGCCTCCTCTTTTTATTCCAGGTATTAAGCAGTACTGAAAGAAGATTACATGGCAAATAGAGAAGGGTTCTCTCATGTTCCCCATGGTTTCCCCCTCTCATCAGCAGGTACACATGGTGATCTACACCAGCAGAGTGCAGCTGATATTGCACACTTTCCCAAAAAGAAAAATCTAATACCAAACCTTTTCCTGGTCTTATTTTTCTGTGAAAGTAAAGGCTGCAGTAGTCTCAGAAGATGGTATGAAAACGAGAATATATCCTAGATACCTCTCTTTCAGCCTCTATTTTCTTTGTCAGATTGAAAATTTTCCGCAAATTGCAATTCCAAACTTGATCTGTATTATGTTATCTTTCTGGACTCTGTTCATTATCCAACAAATACTTCATGCTTACAATTAAAAATAAACTGGAAAAATCAAAATCTTACTTATTTTCAATTCTTCATTCTATTCATTAATGCTTCAGTGCATAAATAAAGCATTTGGATGGTTTGTGGAGGTGGGCAGGTCTTGAGTCTGTCTCCCTGTCCAAAGTACACATCCCATGAGGCACAACCACAGGGGTTTCCTACAATATATTGTGCTGCCTAACACAAAGGGAAATACAGTACTTCATGGGAACATCAGTTATTCCTACAGCAACAGGAGCTCAGGAAAGAGCAGGGATAGATTGTAGCCTGATCTGCAACCCCCAAGAGACATGTCCAAATTAAATACCTCAAAGGTTAAAAGAGAATTATTTTTTTTATTTTATTTCATTTATTGAAAATGTTCAGGAGGAGTTTAGCCTTACAGAGGTGAAATTCTTCTTAGGAAAAACAAATTTCTCTTACCAACTATGCCACTAAGACATTGCCATATTGCCAAGAAGTCCATCAACCCTGGTGTCCCAGCAAAGCGGAACTTCATGGGTGATACATAAATCTCCTGTCCAGTAGAGCTGCCAGAGAATAAATGTTTTCAGATAGGAAAGGAAACAGAGTCAGCTTCTTTAGGGAACGACTCCCCAAGGATAGGCTTGGACAAACTCACTTTTGCAGAACAAGAAAGAAGGAAGAATTACGAAGAAAGTATCTCATGCTACTTTCTGTAAATCACTGCCAGTGAAAGCTGAATGTTAAAGTTGCCATCGGGAACCTTTCCCTTTCTCCCTGCATCTTTGTCCCTAGGGCTTGGTAGGGCCCGATCACGTTCATGCATTCTCCTTGAATTATGTCAATAGACTGAATCATTTCAGTAGATCTAACACCACCTGAACTAAAGCAAGAGTTTACAACAGGCACTGCTCAAGTCTTATTTATGTGCACATTATAGGAATGAGATACACAGGGGATCATGACCCCTTTGCAGCCATATGTGCATCACTCTATGATTTAACAAGATCTCATCTGTACCACCCTTTTAAAAGTTCTAGCACCCAAAGCTTTTACAAAGACCTTGGCAAAGCCCCTTCCTGAGCCCCACACAACATCCTTGGCACGTCCTGAAGGTTGCAACCCTCTTCCATCAGCAGCTTCCCAAACCCTGGGATATACACAGCACTGGAGTCCTTTGTATAATTTTTTCATTAAATATCTCTGAATGCTTGGATCTATAAGGAATTAATCACATCCATCCATGCTGCAATCCCTTTTGGCTCTCAGCTGTTTATTGTCTGGTTATTTGTATATGAGAGCAACCATCTTACTGGTAGTTTTGAGTGCATGGCATTTATTGCAAAGTTACTCAGAAAATGAGACAAAGCGTGACATGCCACTAAGATAAGAAAAATGGGACTTTTACTAAAGAGTAACACAGGATCAAATTTGTCTATTTTATGGAAAGATACGCAATCTCTTGCCTTCCCAAGGAAAAGTGTAAACTGTTCTAGTGTGAAAAGTATCACCGGGGGACTGTTGGGATGGCACTACACATTGTCACAGCAGCACCTCCAACACGCCTTTAGAGAAGGAAAAAAGGTTAAAAGACAATTCATTTGAAAGCAAGAACAAAGACTTTGGATACCAACTTAGATGCTGTTTCCCACGGCACTTCTGCTCTCGAGCAGATCTTCATTCTTCAGTGGCAGGAACAAGCTCTGAAGTCTGTCAGCAAGATCTCAGCACACTCTGCCATCACTCTCACCAGATTCCTTTTTGTAGGGTTTGGTCCTACACTGAGGTGAGACTGCATAACTTCAACTGAGTTCAGAAGGAGCTGAGACTGAACAGAAACCCAGTGGGGCCAACTTGGACTGCTGAGCCCCCTGGGGTGTCCTGGGAAGAGACAGGGTGTTTGTGCTCAGCTGACAGACTTCTGTGTTTTACTTCCTTTAAGGATAAGGACTTCTAAAAGTGTTTTGTTTCATTTTCATTAATATTAAACTTGGCATCAATGATTTTAACAAAGCTGTTATTGACTTCTGTGAGAGCAGGTCAGACTCACATTTCAGTTTTGCAGGACTGAGTAGTCACCAAAGGGAAGTTGACCACACAGTGTCAGGTCCACTCCTAAGAAGGACTGAACCATCCAAATATCCTGATTTTTTTCCTGTTCTGTGAATCATATTGCATAAGGATCTTAAGGTCAACCACACATGTGGAGAGCTACCTAAAATAAACGTTGTAACTTGGAAATTCTTATACCACTGCAAATAAACGTGAATCTCTCAGCTCACCTGAGCCTCTCCACACATATCCACTGTCCTATTGCCTATATCCAGACTCAAGCCTGGGCACAGATTTGACCCAGCTGCCACAGAGGAATGCCAACTGCTCACAGTGCTCTGCCATGTGCCAAATCCTCACTGATGCAGTGTGTGTGTGGGTTGACTAAGGCAGGATGAAAGGGGTGCCCCTCCGTCCAGACATGGCTCCCCCCAGCAAGAAGCAGCATTATGCAATACTGAGCACGACTGAACAGCAAGCTCTGGTCCAAAGAGCCTTCCCAGCGTAACACACTCCAAGTGCTGTCGCTCCCTGCCTGCCAGCAGAAGTTTTCCTGTGGCAAAAAGGAGCGAAAGAACTGAAAAAGTGTCACAGCACCCAGTATCCGCATATTCATAGAAATTAATCTGGAAAATAGGACCTGTGTCCCAAGATGTACTTTATAAATAAACACTGAAAAGGGGGGAGCAGCAACGAGTGAGTGGCACGCAGCAGCACACCAGTAGTGAACATTTCATTTTAATTCTTGTCCAGGGTTAAATCCTTGCCAACATCATGAAAAATTTGCCTGAAGGTAAAAATCACAGCCCTACACTCAAGGTGTTTATTTGCAGGTGCAAAGACTATGCCAATGATTAGGACTTCCCAAGATCCAGCTCTAGGCTACAGCCCGTGCAGCCTAGAGAGCTCTGTTTATCTTTGCCAAGTAAACCAGTTTCAGAAATCACTGCTTAAATCCTCTGTCACATAGAGCTGCGCACACCTAACAGCATCAAAGAAAAACAGTACCACCGTGATCACTGATAATCCCTTGGGTTTTCAAACACATTCACAACATTAAACCTCACATTTATTTTAATAGGACTCTACCAACTCCATTCTATGCTGTACACAGAATTATTTTTTCCTATGAAAACTTAAAGGTACAGAATTTTTAGGAGTGCAAACCATTCGCCATTCACTTGACTTGTGAATGTCACAAAACGAGTTTGTTTCCTCTCAGTTCACTTGTGGTCAGTGTAACTTTCTACCTGACAGCGCTGCAACGCTCAGGTTTCATGCACTGCGAGGTGATGCTTATCGGACCAAAACCCGATGGTTTTCATTTGACACTTTCAACTATTGAAGGCGTCGGTTCGCTCGGGGTTTATAACAGTGAGTTGAACCACACGCGGTGCTCTGAGCTGAGCTGAACTGGCCGCGTTCCCCAGAAGCACTTCGAGCCTTAAAACCGCTCAGAGCTTGGTCTTTCTGGCATCCCTTTTCCAGCGTCTCAGACATAGAGGCTCGGGAATGCCACTCCAAGGCAACGTGGGGGTACGGACAAGACAGGGACTCAGACTTAAAAGCAGCTGCTCTTTTTGGAAAACCCGACGACAGAAAAGAAAGAAATAAAGCCGCTCAGCAGCACACCTCGTATCAGACCCTTGCTCCCACAAACACCCGGCGCCGGAGCGAGCCCCTGGAGCGCCTTACGCAGAGAATGATAAAGCAAAACGGTGTCCCCGGGCGCATCCCCCCGGGGCAGCCCCCGGCATCCCCCCGGGGAGCACCGCGTACTCACACGAAGGCGTGATAGAGCAGCGCCCAGCCGCGGGGTCGTTCCAGGGCGTCGTAGATCAAAGTTTGGATGCGGCGGTACCTGGCGTGGTTCCGCTTCACCGGGCGGCTCAGGGGGGTCTTCGCCAGCAGCCCCAGCCCCGGCGGGCTCCGCTTGCCGCCCTCCTCCTTCCCGCCGCCCTCCAGCAGCAGCGTCCCGTCCCGGTCGCCGCCGGCGCCCAGGGCCAGCGAGCCCTGCTCGGGGTCGCCGCCGCTCGCCGCTCGCCGCCCCGCCGCCGCCGCCGCCCCGCCGGCCGCGCTACCGCCCGCGGCGCCGCGCCGAGCCTTCAGCCCCATGGTCGGGCCCCGGAGGCGAGCTGCGGATCGGCGGCGGCGGCGGCAGCCCCGGGAGCCCCAGGGCCATGATCCGAGCTCCCCGCCCCTCCCCCCAGAACGATTTCTCTATGTATTTATATATATATATTCATCTATGTATGTATGTATATATATATATATATATATATATGGGGGGCGTAAGCGGCAGTGGGCTGGGGGAGTCGGTCACATCCCCGTCAGGTCATTCCCGCCGGCGGGCAGCGGGCAGGCAGGCGCTCGGCGCGCACCTGGGGCCGGCGGGAGGGAGGGGAATCATCGCGGAGTTTATTTACCAGCCTGATGCCCGAGCCCCTTCCTCCCCCACCCCCCCCCCCCCCCGCGCCTTCCCTTCCTCCTCCTCCTCCTCCTCCTCCCAGCTCCTGCCTCCCCCCAACCCTCACGTTAGGGAGTGGCCCATTGTATGCAGCCAGCAAATAGCCGGGCGCCCGCCCCCCGCTCCCCCAGCCCCGGCTGTCGAGTCATCTGCGGTGTGGGGGGCACCGGTCCCGGCCCCCTGCCACGGGAGTCCCCCTACGCCCCCCCAGCCCCGGACCGACAGCCCCCCGCAGCCGCCGCCGGGGCCGCCGGCGCCGAGCGGGGAGATCCCGGCAGCCGACGGAAGGGGAGACCCCGCTCGACACCCGGGGATCCCCCTGCAGCATCACAGCCCCCCTCCTCCGTTGCGGCTGGAGGAGAGGGGGGGGAGAGGAGGGCATCCCCGGCCCCCGGCGGGGGGCTGCTTCCACCGCCGACGCAGGAAGGAGCGGAGGATGGGGATGAAGGATGCCGGGAGAGGCGGCGGGTGGGTGGCTGGAGGCGCTGCTACTGCTGCGGCTCGAGCCGAGCCGAGCTGAGCCGGAGCCTCCGCCCGCGGAGCGGGGTTTCGGGGGCAGCACAGCCGGGCAGCCCCAGTCCCGCCGGGGAGCCCCTTTTTGCACGGGGCTCTCGCGGGAGATGCTGCCTCTGTCCCCTCCCAGGTGGCTCCTGGAGGGAGCAGCGCCGGTCCCGAGCCCGGCTGCGGACCCCAGGGGTCTGCCCCGACCCGTAGGACCCAAGAACTCCCCTCGCTCCGCTTTGCTATGTGTACCCACTCCCTGGTCCAGACTTCGGACCTAAAACCTGACGGGATGTGATTGACAGCCTGTACCCTTTTCCTTTCAGTTTCTGGGCTGCAAGAAAGACGGGAAGCGACAAGCTTTTTTTTTACCCTACACTCTTGGTGCCCTGGGATTTCTGGCACAACGCACTAGAAACAACCCCTCCGAGACGTGCTCTTGAGTAAAAACCTGTCTGCAGGGCAGTGCGTTCGCATATCTGCCCCTTAGGAGGAACAAAGGGTCTAAAAATAAAATGCAATAACATTAAATAAATTATTCAATTAAAATAATAAAATAAGATTCAAAGCCTTACAAATTGCTGGTTGTTTTCATGGGAGGTTCTCCTCCTCCAGATGGGGGAATTTTCCTGGTATCTCCTGAAGAGATGCCAAGACACCCAAGAGCCCTTCTAGACTCATAGGAGAAGCAGATTTGCCACCTACTCTAGCTGCTCCTGTTCCATTTCTGAGGGATGTGCAGTCCTCCTGTTTCACACACCAGGAAGGACAACAGATGGAAAGGGAGCTCCTGGAGGTGATTTCTGGACCCACCACAGGCCATGCTATTTTGGACCCGAGTCACTCAAAAGTGACACTTCTGCCATTGCAGTGCCGGGTGGAAGAAGGGCTGTTTTCCCTACCACATTTCACCTCTGAGGTAATTCTCTTGAGCAGAGTCTGTGCCAAAGAAGAAAAACCACCTCTGCCTTCAGCTCTGCAAGCTCCAGCTTTAACATGTCTCAGTCACCATTTGATTTTGAGCCTTTGCAACCCCGTGGGATTTGTCTACAAGCAGCTGAGAGCAGACAGCAACGTATCTCACACACATCCCCCAATGTCTGCAGCCAGTGTCAGGATAGCTGAGATCTCCATGACATTTTCAGCGAGGAGAGGCTGGCCTGGGCGCAGCACCGGGACCGCACACGTTCTGCTGCCTGCTCAGCTCACATCTATCAGCATCATTTGAATGTCATTTATAGCTGTATTCCCAAGGAGGGCTGTGGGAGGCTAGGAAGTTTTGATAACTAGGCCATTTATCTCTCTCCAGCTCCTGTTCTACCTCAGTACAATAGCGATTACACTTCCCAATACCACAGGGGAGCTATGAGCATTAGCAAGGATGGATGGGGCACTGAGAGTGGAGCATTTCCTTCAGATAACACCCTATGCCTTAACCTTCATCCTAGTGTTGCATTAGGAAGAGGTGGGAGGAGAATGGGAGAGGAAAGAAAATTTATAGCTAACCAATTCATCGCAGCTTTGAACCACAACAGTAAATGTTCAAACCAAAATGGGAATGGTAAATAATTTTCATGGGGAAAGGCAGTAAATTATTTTCACTTGCAAAGGGTTGTACCAATGTCAAATAGCAATAGGTGATTGATAGGCAGGCACACCAGGAGTGCCTTTTATAGGCCTTGCACCAGGGACACAACACTTTTCAATATCAATTACATGTTGGGGGTTTTCAGTTGCAGGTTTCTGGGACATTTTCAAGCCTCAAATTACAACCGTACAAAACACCATTTGAGACCCAACAGGAAAGAGTTTCCATCTCCTCTCTAAAATTAAAATCCCGTAGCTCAGTGTCAGGAATTCTCCTCCTCCATACTCCATCTGGGATAACTGTTGCACAGATGTAGCTGTGCTGGCTGAGAAGCAGTGTAACGCAAGGGGAGGTAGCTAAATTCTTCTAGATCAATCCAAAAGACACACAGCAGTTTCAAGGGGATCTGAATCAAAACCCAACAGTAGTGCTACTGTACATGGTTGGCAGTACCACTGCTTGGGACCCCAATCCTATTGCACACCTGCTGGCAAAGCTCCCGCTGATGTCGAAGGGAGTTTGGCCAGATGGAGGGCTCCAGGCTATGATTTGGCTTAATGAGCAATTACACTCCATTACTATTATTTATGATGTGTTGCTGGCAGCACCCAGCGTGCACAGGTTTGATATCCACCTCCTTGGCTGACACTGGAGATCTCTGTAATCAAAAGCAAGTGCTTCTGCTGAGCTGGAGCTTGCAGCCAGGAGGCTGTAACAGGCTCTGCTGGGAGCGTGCAGAGGGACTGCTGGTAAGCATCTCCCAGTAGGTTGTGCTGGCCCTCGTCAAACAGGAAACTGCTTCAGCCAAAGAGTTTATATCTAAAATCAGAGAAAACCAGCAAGAGAATATATCTGTTGGTCAATATAATATGCCTTTATCTTGGCTTTTTCATAGATCATCTGGATTCTTGTGAATGACAAAGCACAGGAGTGGTTGGTAAACCTCACACGAATGCACAGAGTGTGTCCTAGTGGAGCCACATGAACATTCAGCTGGAACATCTAGATCATGTTTACAAGAAGGAAAAGGGCAAACAGAAGGTCAGTTACTGTGCGAAAGACTTCAGAACCAAAATGGTCGTGAGATCAGCTGCTCATGAGCTTCAGTGACAGAGGAGAGAGATTTGGTACTTGAAAAACTAGTCAGGAGCTCTCTAGGAACCGGGAACAGAAAGCAACACTGTCTACAGTGTGAGTGAAACTCATTAAAATGTCTTGTCCTACTTTAGTAGGACGTGCTTTGAAAAAGGTGCTGAAGAGCAGAACTACAGGGAACATTTCCTGGGATGAAGGATTTGAAGCTTGAGGACCTCTTGACCCAGGAGTCTTATATATAGCAAGACTCAGTGCATGGAGGGTGAAGCTATATAACCATAGAAGTAAGTGGGATCTCAGTTTCAGTGTAAGCACTGATGCTGAATTTTGTTGCCCTTCTCTTTCTATCATTCTTCTGGTTCCTCTATTTCATCAAGCAAAATTTTTGCAGTACTTTAAGGCTTCTAGTTTCTCCTTTAGGGTGAAAAGATCTAATCTTGTTTTTAGTTGGGGGATCTAACACCAACCTCCACTCAACCTTTGGTATAAGCTCCATTAAGCACCCTCATGCTTTTTTCTCTGAAGCTCCAAAGGAGGACTCCGTCCACAGACAAAACTACCTCAAGATCACTTTCAATCACGTAGTTAAAACTCACTACTTGGATGCCCACAAAATCTACCAGTGTGACTGAGCATGGTTTGGAAGCTGCTACTGCCAAATGCCAAATGAGACAGTGCAAGTACAGAGTCCAGCACTGACACCACAGCTGATTCAGGCAGCAGGAGTGGTTTAGCTTTAAAAGAGACCTGAAGCCCCATGGGGACTGATTTAGGGAGTTGTTAACCCAGATATAGATTGTGCTGCCATAGCTGTGTTGTTCAAACACCCAACCTAAATCTTGTACTGTCACTTCTGTGTTTAGCAGCATAGATATGCTCATGCATTTCCTCTCCCCTCTTTGTACATCCATGTCCTCCTTCTTCCTTACAGCTACATGTCAAATTCTTTTTTTCAGGGCTTGTTTCTTGGGGATTAGTATTGGAGGAACCTAAGCTGTGCCTTAAACTAACACAAAGTGAAGCCCAACAAGTCAGAAAAACCAATAAGAACAAGACAGAACAGCCTAGTCAAGCATGCAGCACTCTTAGATTGGTCTTAAGTCAGAGTTGCAGTTTTGATCTTTATTTTTTAAAATCTATGGCCTAATTTTACGTGAAGCTATGGTCTGTGATCTGCAGGTGGTCAAACCGATAAAAATGTCTCCTTCTGGCTTCCAGATCATTGCATGAACTGCATGAAAACAGGTCAGGCAAAAGGACACACAAGAATCATGTTGGGAAGACTGAAAGCAGTATCTTCTCCTTAAATCTGCTGATAGAAGAGTGGTGGTGATGCCCATGAAAACTCAAAGCTGTGCAGAAAAATAAGTTAGTTATGACATGCAGACCTTCCTTCCCGAGACTGCAGATGAGCCTAACCCTAACCTGTTGCCTCAAAATGTTTTCTCTGCAGTGATAAGGTCTGGCTGGAAGCCAGAGTCTGTATTAGCTCTTGTTCAGGGTCAGAATAACTGTGGGGCTGGCGCTGATGGTCCTAAAGTGAGCAAAATTTATTACAAGAAAAAAAACAAAACCACACACACAAGAACCCCCCAAAAAACCAAAACAAAAATCCAACTAAACAAAAAAAACAAACACAGAACTCCAAACAAAAACACCACCAAAAAACAAACAAACAAGAAAAAGCCCCCACCAACTGTAAAATAACTTAAAAGAAACAGTGCTCACTTGAGGGAAATACTTACCAGGACAGGTCCCCTTGCCCAGGAGCTAGCAGGGCAAGTATTCCCAGACTTGCAACTGCAGCAGCTCTGTTCCAGCAGACAGTGGTGGAAATGAGGCCACAGAAATCCCCCATGCAAACTCTGCTCTCCCTAACCATCGAGTCCCCTGGCACTCAGTGATCCACAGAGCACAAGAGTGCCATCCATAGGAATGGGAGACCAACTTCCATCTGCCACTGGCCTCGCCGCCTACCAGCTTCACAGAAAACATGAAATGGAAAATAAATCTCCACCACTACAAATTACTGCATGGGTAAAGAAAATCAATACACTGTAACTTCACACCGTCTCAGTGCCATTAAAAGATCGTTGAAAACCAATCAAAAGGGCATCCATAATTCACTCATGCTCACCTTACTGAATCCACGTCACAGTCAGGAAGCATGTGTGCATCCATAACCTTGTCCCATCATTTTGCACAGTCCCTGTCTTTGAGACAGGAAGAGGGATTTCAGCAGCAAGGTTCATGTATTGTATCAGTACCTTCAAACCTTGGGTTCTAGCTCAGCTGAGCTCTAACCATCCCAGTCCTTGACTTCCTTGAAAAAACTATTCATCCTAAACTTCTTTGTTTCTCAGCCCACTGAGCTTAACCCTTTCACATGGTTGGATCTGCCTTACCTTGATTCATTTTCGGGCATGCCCGTTTAGCGCACAAGACAAGGCAGCACTAAAGTATTAAAAGTCAAAGTGCTGCCCGAAAAAATTCTTCACAGAAGGAAAGCAAGCAAATAAAGATGGGTCTTCATGGGTGTTTTGCTTCCTCTCCCCTAGTCTCATGTTTTACGACTTTTTCTGAGCCTCTTGGAATTTCTCTCTTTCCCTCCTGACTATAAGGGAGTGAAAGTAAGGTGAGAGTCTCCCTTCCAGGTGTTGGGACATCACACGATCAACCCAAAATACTGACATTTGAACTCTTATTACTACAGTTGGCAACTCCGAGGAATATGTATTGGAATCATTACTGACTGAAATGATTTCTCCTTCCTCTTTTAGGTAATTTTTAAGGTTCCATAATGTTCCTAATATAATACAGTCTCCCCCTGTCAAAATGAGTCTGTCAACTGGATATTTTTCCTTAACATCAGAATAATCAATTGG